TTTGGGTCTAAAACTAAATGATTGTTACAATTACTAATCATGTTCAGAGTCATCTTCTTTCTGGAGGCACATGTAATGGAAAAAATGTATGGTCGGCCTCTATTGTACACATTTCGCATAATTTTCCGAATTAATCAAATCAAACTTTTGTCATGAAGTGTCCTGTTATAAATTGATCAAACAAATACGTGGGAATTGTTAACACTTGAGGGCACCGGACACAAACAATGACAGAAACAATATACCGCCTGCCGGAAGTGGAAGATGTGGTGTTTCAGAAACGTGATGTTGTGCTTGTAATAATATCCCCATTCACCAAATTACAGCAGACCGACATGTCTGTATTTGCCCTGACAAATGCAGACGTCGTGCTTGTGCCCAATTCCTGGCCAGTCTCGCTTTCCAAATAATTGTCAACAATCTCGTTGGTCTGACCCCCTTAAATACTTGCTCACCGAAAATTAATTGAATAAATCCGTACTCAAATCTGTGATTTTTGTTTTAATTGTCTGGCACAGAAAATGCGAGACATTTTAATTATTCATATATTAATTAATAAGGACGAATTACACCGCATTGCATTAAACTTATTGTGTTTTTTATTGGAGGTAGCTAAATATAAGCTATAATGAGGGATAAGAGCAACTGCTTAGCCTAAAATACTAGTAATCATGATGACTTCTTCAGATCGCGATATAAGACCGTAATTATAATACTTGCTTTGCGTATGCTATAATAGACCGCATTGTGTTGTAATTTAAAGATTGTGCATAATAGAGTCGTTTATATTTGTAAACCGTCATCCTTTATTATACATGTTATGTTAATCATTATTTTTTTTTTCAGATGAATCATCTGGACCTAATAAAGGCATGATTGGTGGATTGGTTGGTGCAGCCTCTGGTGTTACTGTGGTTATGATAATCATTATTTCACAAACAAAGAAATACAAATCTGGTAAATGTAAGCATAGCTCATCAAGTAAGTTAACTCACTACAATACTTTGCTACAAGCTGTCAAAGCTGTTATAATCCACAAGATATACTTTAGGCCAGGAAAAAAAATTCTCTGTTTCTCGGTTCATGAACATTTAAAATGAGGTGGTGAGGTGGTTTTGTTTTAATACTCGGCTAAAATGGGGAAAATTTGAGACAAGTGCGAGTACAAGCGCATAGTTCAGAATGATATGCGCGGAAATGAGAAACAGAGATATTTTTTTCTCAGCCTAATATATCAGTCACAGTCGTGCGTTCTTAAAAAAAACGCATCAATTCGAATAGTTAAATTATGCACAAGTAGTAAGTCTTTCGTTTGGACATATGTAGTTGTACATGCATTTTGTTTCTTATTTAATAAACTAATAATACGTACATCTCATTTTTATCACAGGTGAAAAAGCTCAGACTGCATAATCAACGTTTTGACTATATTTAGAATGTGTCAGGAAACGATAGTGACCACTGACATCAAATTCCTGGAAAATCTTAGAACAATGTTTTTATTCTTGACTTTGTATTTGCAAATTCAAACCCAGCCAGACGTTATCATACTATTTGTATTGAACAATTTGTCTAATATATAATTAAAATTGGTTGTCGTAATAATAATTTCTATGAATAAATAGTAGATACAGCAAACCTTACCTTAACGAAAGGCACTTTTTTTATTGTTGAAATATTTGTCGGACAGTATCCAATCTTATTCAGTCTCACTTTATAGTTTTGCAGCATTGAGTTTTAGACTCTTATTTGATTAATCATTATATGATTCTTGTTGTTGTTATATTAATTTATTATTGTAAAAGTTGCGTGTTTAACAGTATAATGTGAGTCAGGTTTCTTCTGCGTGGCTAGCACATCCATGTTCGGAGTGGTTTTAACGTATCTTTCCCATTTTTATTTTTTTAAACTGTCAAATTTGTTCTTTCTGAATGGGTCCATTAGACATCCTGTAAAAGTATAACGATATTGTATTTAAAAAAAAACATGTTCTTAAGAACAATCTGTGACAAATACATGCTTTATATATAGTTTGATGAGTACGTTTATTCAATGTTACCATCTTGCATGTGATAAGCCCTTGGAAACTGTTGATATCCCACCCCTAGGATATAGATGATCTGATTAGCTGATGCATGTAATTTCAGACTATGACATTGTCTCCATAGATGCTGAAATGTGGCTCACTTGACCCTTATCAACATGAATGGAAATATGCTAAATATTGATAGTTCTGTTGTATCTGTAGATTATCTTGCTAATAGCTAATTACTACCACTATTTGTACCCAATTAGATATTTCTCTAGGGTTGATAAATTCGCCAGAATTATTCTCGTTTTTTTTCAATTAATAGTTCCCTCGACAATCCTTGCCTGGACAATTACAATCTTTGACATTAAATTATTCTTCTAACAATATAATTAGTATGTTCTGTAGTAGCTCTGATTAATGAATTATATTATTTATAAGTAGTTCATTGTAATATTGAAACAAATCATTTGTGTTTTCTCTACACTTTTTTTGTATTTGTTCAAATTTTCTCAAGTAACTAGGACCACAGTGAAATCTACTACACCAGAGCCACATGTTTCGAATTTATACTGGTGGACCACGAGGCAATGAAAATATGTATGTAGTGTTGGCGTTGGTTGGTTGGTGTTCATCTCATTCTAAAAACAAAACAAAAAAAACATTCAGAAAGCGAATGTATACCACGAATGGGTTATGATAGTAAAAAAATGTAGTTTCGAAAGTTGAATAAATGCAAATTGTAGTACATTGATGATTATTTCATATTTGGAACCATGAGAGAAACGTCAGTGAAAGCGAGCACGGCAAAAGTCGCATATATATGAAACTAATATTTCTACCAAGTACTTTTGTCAGAGGGGTAACTTATCTGCCTACTTTAAAGTAAATGACTCGAGATACAAGCTTTCATTCAAAACATCATGTTCGTCCCAAAGTGTAATGTTTGATATGGGTCCAATGTGACGTATACAACGCGTGTGAAAAACATTTGCAAACCTACTGTGGCCCTGTCAGTAATGGGCAATGAAATTGACAATCACGAGCGTCACTATGGCCAATATAACAGTGTACCATAAATAGCAATTTGGAAAAAAATGACAATAAAAAAATCGCATTGAACGCCCTCGTGCAATGCAAACTCAATACCTTTTGTTTTTATGTGCGCATATCTAAGAAGTTCACTGTCTTTATCTACATTCTTATTCCCTTGAATGCATTTTATCTCACTTCATTCATCCACTCACTCATTCTGCTGTAAAGTGAAACTGCACTGGTTGTGTTACCGTCCGTTAACTCCGTTCAGGCAAAATCTATTTGAACAAAATTTAATTTTAATTAATATGGAAAAAAGGCTAGAAAGCTGTAGTAGAATAATCACTTATACTGGTGTTGACATTGAAGAACTTTAATATACTGTTAAACGAGCTAGCTTAGATTGTAACTCACTCAGTCTAGTTATGATCCTCTCTATCAGACGGTGAGAAAACATTAACTATCGTTTTGTACACGTACAGATCAAACTTGTCATATTTTGTGAGACATTTTGTTTAAGATACTAATAAAATAGTTTGTCAAGACGAACTTTGTGAAGATTTCTCACATGTAATTGAGTCTATATTGGTTGCGCTTCATAGGAACATCGTGTATTCCCTTCCCAAATGTTTCAATTATGATTGTGATCCTCCAATTCTTGAAAATTCGCATGTCAACTGCCTACTTTATGCAGATGACCTGGTCTTTCTCTCTAGAACAAAGCATGGACTACAATCATGTCTGGATAATTTGTCGGAATTTGTTAATAAATGGCAATTAAACTGTAAACCCAGAAAAAACAAAAGTATTAGTTTTTAACAAATCAAACAGATGTCTAAACAGTGACACTTTCTTTCTAGTGGCAATGAAATTGTGACAGTCAAAACATTTAATTATTTTGGCTTAATAATCAGTGCAAATGGAAAATTTGAGGAAGCTCTAAATCCCCTTAAGAGAAAGGCTTAAAAAGCACTGTTTTCTCTCAAAACTAAATTAGGCGCAATACACAATTTGTCTGTAACCTCGTCACTATCGCTTTTTGACAAACTAATACGACCGATACTTGTTTATGGTAGTGATGTATGGGGTGGCGAGTTCCCATCCAAATCACCAGTTGAGAACATTAATTTTCAATACTGTCGATATCTCCTTCTAGTTTTCCAAAGAACCCCAATTACGGGAATTTACAGCGAGTTAGGGAGATACCCTTTGGATATATATTTATTAAAAATCAATTAATAAAACATTACAACCGCATTAAAAATACTAAAAATGTTTTACTTAAAGAAGCTTTTTCAGTTAATACAAGCCTAAAAACTAAGTGGTTTTTGGAAATTACAGACTTGCTGAAGAATATTAAACAGGAATGTTTAATTAATAAAAGTTATGAATTAACTTCAACAGACATAAATATCATCAAGTCCAACCTCAAACATAAATTTACATCCCATTGGAACGAAGAAATTCATAGTGATATTCGTGAAAAAATCTGAGAGAAAAAAACACTTCAGAACCTACAGAACATTTAAATTCAATATCAGTATGGAATCATATCTCACCAATATCAAAAACATTGATTTGAGAACTAGTCTGGCTAAATTCGGTCTGAGTAACCATGCCCTCAAGATGGAGACTGGCAGACACAATTGTACTCCACTCAGTAACAGGGTCTGTGACATGTGTAACCAAGATACCATTGAAAATGAATTTCATTTTATGGCGGAGTGTCCCAAATACAGTAATAGACGCAGTGTTCTGTTTGATACAGCTGCTAATGTGATTGACTCCCTTCACAACCTGCCTCCTGAAGAACAGTTCGCCTATAGTGAACAAAAATGTTCGTAAACATTACTGACCGCAAAATACGCTCATCGTGAAGCGACTTGTAATCAAGTAATATATACATGTAAAGCTATTAATGTTGTACAAACTACACTATTAACATGTCAACTTGGACCATTCAATGTCTAATGTAAGTATATCTTATATAAGGAATCTAAATAGAAATGATAATCAAGTAATGTATACATGTAAAGCTGCTAATGTTGTACAAACTACACCATTAACATGTCAACTTGGACCATTCAATGCCTACTGTAAGTATATCTTATATATGGAATCTAAATAGAAATGATAATCAAGTAATGTATACATGTAAAGCCACTAATGTTGTACAAACTACACCATTAACATGTCAACTTGGACCAAACAATATCAACTGTAGGTATATCTTATATGGAATCTAAATAAAAATGATAATCAAGTAATGTATACATGTAAAGCTACTAATGTTGTACAAACTACACTATTAACATGTCAACTTTGACCAGTCAATGTCTACTTTAAGTATATCTTATATGTGGAATCTAAATAGAAATGATAATCAAGTAATATATACATGTAAATCTATTAATGTTGTACAAACTATACGATTAACATGTCAACTTGAACAATTCAATATCTACTCTAAGTATATCTTATATGTGGAATCTAAACAGAAATGATAATCAAGTAATGTATACATGTGAAGCTATTAATGTTGTACAAACTACACCAATAACATGTCAACTTTGACAATTCAATGTCTACTGTAGGTATATCTTATATGTGGAATCTAAACAGAAATGATAATCAAGTAAAGTATACATGTGAAGCTATTAATATTGTACACATTAAACCATTACCATGTCAATGTGAACCATTCAATGTCTACTGTAAGTATATTCTATATATGGAATCTAAATAGAAATGATAGTAAAATAATGTATACATGTAAAGCTACTAATATAGTACAAACTGCACCATTAGCATGTCAACTTGGACCATTCAATGTCTACTGTAAGTATATCTTATATATGGAATCTAAATAGAAATGATAATCAAGTAATGTATACAAGTAAAGCTACTAATGTTGTACAAACTACACCATTAACATGTCAGTTTGGACCATTCAATGTCTACTGTAAGTATATCTTATATGTGGAATCTAAACAGAAGTGATAATCAAGAAATGTATACATGTGAAGCTACTAATGTTGAACAAACTACAACATTAACATGTCAACTTGGACCATTCAATGTCAACTGTAAGTATATCTTATATATGGAATCTAAATGGAAATGATAATCAAGTAATGTATACATGTAAAGCAACTAATGTTGTACAAACTACACCATTACCGTGTCAACTTGGACCATTCAATGTCTACTGTAAGTATATCTTATATATGGAATCTACATGGAAATGATAATCTAGTAATGTATACA